GCCACGTGAACACAACAGGAAAGACCTCATTCTAACTCCACTCTGGTGTTTTGGTTAAAATGGTCCATTCTCTCAAAGTGTTTTCTCTGGAAGATCTTGGATGATTAATGTCTTGAAGAAAATGGTTGGTAATGGTTTGTCTATGTAAAACTGTGGACTAAAGGAGTGTCATGCCGCTCACAGCGTTCAGCTCCAGTCAAATGAAGCTCACTGAGGCTTGCAGGTATAGGGGCAAACTATCAGGAATTTGAATTTTTAAAAGTTGTAGAGTCAAATCGTGCTCCTGCTCACTTCCTGTGCTCACTATTAAGAACACAGCTGCTTGCAGGGCAGTTAAGTCCATTTATACAGTCTGTTGTTGGTAAAGATCATTCTGATGTTTTGATCCTTATTTAGAGAAAGTCAACGCCATAGACAAGGAGAACGAGAGCCACTCTGACAACCAGTCTGTAACAAAGGTAACCATTTATCATAGGCTCACATTCTACTGTTGTGTTTATGAAGGTTCACACATGCACCATAACCTCTTCTTTCTTTTGACCCACAGCCCACATTAAGAGCCTTCTCCTTTAAGGTAAGCACATGTTCTACCACAGTGCACACAAGAGGGCCCTCAGTAAACGTGCATGTGCGGCGTTTGTCCACCAGGATGCAGTAGAGAGGCAGATCCGCTCACACAGAGAGGCCCATAAGGAGCAGATCAGTAAACTGAGGAATGAGCTGGACAGCAAGGACAAGCTCATCGCAGACATCCAAGAGTAAGAGCCTATACTGCCCTCTGCTGGTGTCTTACGAGTATACTCATTTTATTCACCATATTCTCAAAAATACTGTGTGTATCATGATTCAGGTTGTATTTTTATTTTATTTTTTGCATGGGATAGACACCAATTGATAATAACACTAGTATCAAACTAGACACTCATTTGAGCATAAGAGTAGAAGAGCACATAGACTAGTATACACCCACTGACCACTGAGGATTACACACATATAAAACAGATATAAGATATAAGATTGGAATAGAAAAGAAAGTATTACCATTTATAATAATGTCTTCAAGGGAGTCAGGGCAATGTTGATTTGTGCAGATGACCACTGAACATTTTACACAAATCAGTCTACTTTATATCAGATTTTAGCAGCAAAACTGTTCTCAAAATGTGGTTGGGGCCGAATAATGTCAGTTGGAGTGGGGAAAGGGGTTGAGTAAGCACCCACCCTATGACCAGAAGTTAACTGGTCCAAGAAGACACTTTCCCCTTTTGAGTTTGAGGATTGTGGCTGGTTATGACAGTGTGACTGAGCATTGATTAAAGAAACAGTTTTCACACTTTTTCCCAATTTGGAATGCCAAAGGTTTTTCATTAGAAGTCTCATGGGCTTACAGTCCCCTCTTGTGGCTCGGACACTCTTCATACGATTCTGTTGGTTTACTCTATGGAATTCTTTTGGCATAGAGCATAGATTTTTTTTTTAATAAATAACTAGATTGATTGGGTTTATTACTATGGCAGAGTTAAAAGCAAACTTCATTTTTATCAGGCTGTTTCTCAAACATGCACACAGCACCACATTAAAATGGGAAACTACACCAGGACTAGAAGTGTCCTTGTATATACAGAGGCTGAGGTGTGTGTGTGTGTGTTTAGGCTGAACCAGAAGATCACACTGGAGCAGGAGACCCTCAAAGTGGAGCATGAGAAGCTGAAGGCAGCAGACCAGGAGAAGAGCCAGCAGCTCCAGGAGCTGCAGTAAGTCCTGCACTACTGTATACTTCATACTGTATACTTCATACTGTATACATAATACTGTATACTTGATACTGGAGACTGTGGTGATGAATAGACTTTACATGATCAGTATAATGTATTCAGAAGCAGTGCTTTATTATTTATGCCCTTATATGTACATTTGACATAAAAATATGCAAGCACTGCTCTGGGCTCCTTCCAACTCTCTTTTGAGGAAATGGGCGTGTTGTTTTTCCTCTCTTTGTTCAGGTCAATAACAACAGTTTTATTACATGAATTATCTCATTTTAGAACCTGGATTATGACAATAATAACGACCTCTGCTGTGGCCCAGAACCTGTCAGTGTTTAAAGTGTATTTGTACAAACTGTACATTTTGTATGATGTGCCTGTTGTTGTGCAGAGCTCTGCAGGACAGAAGGGAACAGGCCAGACAGGACCTCAAGGGCCTGGAGGAGACTGTGGTGAGCAGTACTACATTTGACTGGTCTTATTAGTGCATATCTATGGATCATACATACTGTTTATGTGTATATGTTCATGTATGTGTCAGGCCCGGGAGCTGCAGACCCTGCACAGTCTGAGGAGGCTCTTCGTCCAGGACCTGTCCTCCAGAGTGAGAAAGGTACATCTCTGCTTCACAACAGCTAACCTCTGCTGACCAGGGCTGTCAGAACAAAGTCTACAGACCAACTTCTTCTGGTGCTGACCTAAAGTCACCTTGTTGTTAGATAAAGTAGAACATGTGTGTGTTTGGTACAGAATTCTAAACTGGACTGTGACGACCCGGACAGCAGTGCTGCTCAGAGGCAGAAGATCCACTTCCTGGAGAACAACCTGGAGCAGCTGACCAAAGTCCACAAGCAGGTGACCACTAGAACATGTGGTGAAAAATACAGTGTCCACATGTTAGGCAAACATCTTGTATAAACCAGGTTCTGTGTTCCTCTGTGTTCCTCTGTGTGTTCCTCTGTGTGTTCCTCTGTGTGTTCCTCTGTGTGTTCCTCTGTGTGTTCTTCTGTGTGTTCTTCTGTGTGTTCTCTGTGTGTTCCTCTGTGTTCCTCTGTGTGTTCCTCTGTGTGTCCTCTGTGTGTTCCTCTGTGTGTTCCTCTGTGTTTCTCTGTGTTCTTCTGTGTTCCTCTGTGTTCCTCTGTGTGTTCCTCTGTGTTCCTCTGTGTTTCCTCTGTGTGTTCCTCTGTGTGTTCCTCTGTGTGTTCCTCTGTGTGTTCCTCTGTGTTCCTCTGTGTGTCCTCTGTGTGTTCCTCTGTGTTCCTCTGTGTGTCCTCTGTGTTCCTCTGTGTGTCCTCTGTGTGTTCCTCTGTGTGTTCCTCTGTGTGTTCCTCTGTGTGTTCCTCTGTGTGTTCCTCTGTGTGTTCCTCTGTGTGTTCCTCTGTGTTCCTCTGTGTGTTCCTCTGTGTGTTCCTCTGTGTGTTCCTCTGTGTGTTCCTCTGTGTTCCTCTGTGTGTTCCTCTCCTGTGTGTTCCTCTGTGTGTTCCTCTGTGTGTTCCTCTGTGTGTTCCTCTGTGTGTTCCTCTGTGTGCTCCTCAGCTGCTCCGGGACAATGCAGACCTGCGCTGTGAGATCCCCAAACTGGAGAAGCGTTTCCGGGCCACCATCGAGCGCGTCAAGGCCCTGGAGGCCGCTCTGAAGGAGGCCAAAGAGAACGCCGCCAAGGACCGCCAGCGCCACCTACAGGAGATGGAGCGCATTAAAGAGGCGGCTGTCAAACCCAAGAACATGGGCCGGAGAGCTTCTATAGGTCTGTCACATCACATCACGTCCAAACATGTTTCATATCAGGGCATGTGACTCAATTCCAAATTGAACATTTCATTTGTGTGGCTCCAGTTCCATTGTTTTGATCCATCATAAGTGTTATGAAGATTTTATGAACAGTATTTTACATATTAATGCAACACAAAACCATATAGAACATTCTCCATGGAGATAGAGACGTTTTATGCCATTCTGTGGACTAATATAAGAGGAATCAGGTCTGTGGAGAGGCAAGTCCACACACAACAAGGACCCATATTTTTCAGTGCAATAAAAACATAACAGCAAAAAGTTACACAGTGGAGCTTTAGGTCTGGACACAATATGTAAGTGTTTCTCTAAACACTAAGCACAAATTAGAACTAAATACGTGATAATTGTTCATTCAGTTCAGTTTGAGATCCAGAACTCACTAATGTCTGTGTGTGATTGTCCAGCCAAACCCATCCGCCCAGGTCAGCTGCCAGGAGTCGCACCCAGCCCCAGTATGACCCGCCCCAACCTGCTCAAGGCCGGAAACAGGCAAGAACACGCCTCCTACAGTTCTTTTCTTCTCTAGCCCCTCTCCTTTCTGGTCCTTCTCCTCTCTCTGGTCTCTGTCCTCTCTCTGCTCCCTCACTCCTCTCTCTCTGGTCCTTCATCTCTCTGGTCCCTCTCTCCTCTCTCTACTCCCTCACTCCTCTCTGCTCTTCTCTCTGCAGCTGCTTTGTGGATGAAGAGTGACAGCTGTAGATGTTTGTAGAGGAGGACACGAGGATCCATGAACTGGACTCAGCGCTTTGACTTTCTTCTTCTGCCTGGATTTGGGATGAAGGATTGTGAAATATTTCTAGAATCATATAATTTTGCTGTTTTGAAATACTGTAATTTCCTCCTCAAACAAACGAAATCTCCTCTTATTCTGCATAAAAATCATAATAAATCAGTGTAGGACCGCCACTGGGTAACAGTTATGCAATTTCCTAGTCTGATGTCATGATTTCCATGCAGGAAGTAAAATTTTAAACCTAGAAAAATGTACAAATTTGGAAAATGAATGTGAATGTTTTTGTAAAAATCTTAAATTTGCAAAAATCTTTGAACTGTGTTTTAGTCAGATGAGTAGTTGTATAGGGCACTTTGGTGGTTAAACTCATGATCAACAAACAAACTAAAAACAATGAGGATACTTTTATGTATGTATATGTATGTCAGAAACATGGATCAGAAAAGACCAAGCTAAGATTTTATTTTATTTTTTAATGTATCTACAAGCTCTTCTAAATGTTAACTTATTTCTCATGTACTTCTGTCTTTTCTGATGTACTTCTTTTGTTTTGCATATTTATTGCTTTATAGTTTAGACAAAATAAACAACACAATAAAAATGAAGAGCTCGGTTTAAATGTATTATACTTATGTTTTAATTCTGTTCTTTTGCACATTATGAAATAAACTAATCTGCCAAGTAAGTCTTTATTTATAGTGCTTTTCACAGACATTTTTTGTCCCCAAAGACACTTTATTCAGCTTTATTCATTCACTCTATACCTGGTGATGGTAAGCTACTATTGTAGCCACAGCTGCCCTGGGGGGGGGGACTTTCAGTCTATTAGTGACTGAAAGTCGGAGGATTGATTCCCCCTCTGTTGTTGTGTCCTTAAGCAAGACACTTTCCTTCACATTGCCTAGTATGAAAGTGGTGTGTGTGTGTCGGTGGTTGGAGAGGCTGTCTTGCTTCCATCAGTCTGCCCCAGGGCAGCTGTGGCTACAAATGCAGTTTATCAGCACAGAGCGTGGAGTGAATAAAGACACAGTGTAACACTGAGAGGCTTTGTGGAGTCTGACAAAAGTGTATTATAAGTGTAAGCCATTATTGTTAAAGATTTACAAGGCACACAAATGTTTTGGTTCTCCAATTTGAATTCTAATTCTCCAGTCAGAACACCAAACGAGCTTCTTGAGGTTCACCACACGAGGCTAAAATGTCAGAATTGGAATAAAAAGTCTCTGACCTGAGTCCTCAGCAAAACTTTATCAAATAGAAACATGCTCTAACAGAAGAGAACAGCACCTACAGCTGATGATCAGAGTCAGTGCAGGTAAGGCCCAGGTTCAGATGTGAGTGTAGTCACTGTCCACATCACAGACCAGGGTGACCAGATGGGATTGGCTAAAATTCAGGATGGTGTTTTTTTGTTTTTTGTTTTTAACCTGTCACAAACACTTTTATTTTTTATTTATTAATTTTTTTAAATCAAGTCTTTCATTAATATTTCTGCCACAAGAAAACAACATAAAAATCATGAACTCAAAATGTCATCTTGGAAAAATAACAATACACACATGGCAGCTGCTGTGAAGAGTGGCAAAAAAGAAACATAATAGATAGATTGTAGACAGTCGACTCAACCTCTCTACCAACAGTTTTTAATGTTTATCAGAAAATAACTACTCAGTATTTTGTTTGTGTGTAATTTTCAAGACATTTAAAGATAAAGATAAAGATAAAGATAAGATAAAGGGACAGATTCAGGATTAGGGACAACAGCATCAATTTTGGGGACGTCTGGTCACACTGTCACTGACTATGAATGTTATTTTAGTAAAAAATACACCTAAAACATGACCTAAAAGAGAAGATGTGTTCAAACCTGACACTGTCATTGTCTCTAGAGTGGTCTACTTGCTCCTTGGAATCATTTCAGATTTTCAGAAGAGAAACTTTAGTATTGGAATATCACATTTTCTTTGTCGTAGACTAAATCTGAAATACTTATGAATGTTTTTAGGACTCTTCTGGACATGAAAACAATTAATAAGACAATCCTGTAGAATAACCTATAGTCATACTTGTGCACGCACCACAGTTTGAGAACCACTGGCTCAGTATATATAAGAATATTTACACTTACTAATGAATTAATAACACAGGAATTAGGCCATGTAGTCCAGGTAAAACAGAGATAAAGTTTAGGAACTAGAGTAAACATCTCCTATCTGCTCACAACATCATCACTGGACTCACCTGTGGAAGATGTTCATGTACTTTCCTGTGTGCGCCACCAGAGGTCGCCTTAACATCGTGGTGCAGGAGATTGAGGATTCACAGAGAAGCTCAGGTTCGTCTAAAGTCAAACACTTCATGTTATGGTTTCACAATCACAACAGACACTTAAAGCCTGTGTTTTTGTCTGCAGTGAGTGAAGCTTCCACGCGACCACCCCAGACACTCCATCATCAATAATTCATGACTCCATCTCTGAACAAAGACACGCCCCCTAAACAAAGATAATATGAATCATACAAACATGACACACATGACAAGAGGTGCCGTGGGTCTCGTGCTCAGGTCCTGTGGGTCTTGTTTTCAGGTCCTGTGGGTCTGGTGTTGCGGTTCTGTGGGTCTGGTGTTCCGGGGCCGTGGGTCTGATGGCCCAGTGCTGTGGTGCAGGTTGGCGGTGACAGACAGACGGGCGGGGCAGCGTGCACGCTGCAGCTCTGCAAGTCTGTGCATGGTGACCATGGTGACCAGCCCCCACGAGACACAGGAAGAGAGTCGAGCTGATATTTCAAAATAAAACCAGGAGAGCAGACGCATGCGCAAAGATGAGTGTGAACCATGGAACTAATAATAACTCTAAAGAATGGCAACACAATAATAACCTCACGCTTGTTCCGTTATTTTTCTATTATGTAATATTAAAGGGCTCATATTAGGCTATTTTTAACCGATGTTCTCATGTAGTGTCCTCATCACAAACCTGGACCTGCAGTTGTGTTTTGCTTCATTCACATGTTTAACATACAAACCTGCACATTTAGGCTGAGTTCTTCTCTCAAATGGAATACTTCCACCTTGTGATGTCATGTGGTGATACAGAAAGTGCTCCACTGTGTTTTTAAACTCCATACACCTTCACTAGAATCATTTGGATGATTTCGGTCCTGGAACTGCCAATCTCTACTGAACAAAGTGTTAAAGACAGCTCTTATCTTGAAAACCACCGCTTCATGACATCACAGGGTGGAACAGAGCATTTTGAGCTTTGGAGATGTAAACAGACTAATAATAAAAGGTTATTCAAACAAGTGTGAATGAAACATAACACAACTCCAGGTCTGTTTGATGAGGTAACAACATTAGGCTATAACATGGCTTTAAGTCAGGAGTGTCAAACATACGGCCCAGGGGCCAGATCCCGCCCTCCAAGACCTTTAATCTGGCCCTCGACTGATTTTCTACTAAAATATTTGAATTATATTTTCTATGAAAATCTTGTTAATTTTCTGTGGTGTTTATCACAGCAGCGTCTCCAGCGTCTCTGTACGTGGCCCCTCCCACCAGAGCAGCACAAATGAAGACTTGTCTCTTTCCAAACGCTCTTAAAGGACGATCGTTTTGACTGTTGACCGTGTCACCCTCATCAGAAAAATGTCCAACATGAGAAAAGTGGAGCCGAGTGCAGGATTTTACAACAAAAATGGGCTTATTCCTGTTTACATACAAACTCATGTTAAAACATTGTCTTGAAATTAAATTTTTCTTAAAGTTTCAGGTTGTTCATAATATTATAATATTTTGTAAAAGAAAGAGTGCATCAGTTGAAAAAGATTTCTGTAATAGATTTGTTTTTCTCTGCACAAATATTTGAACTTATTGTTATTTTTGGAGTTTAGATGCCATGAGTTTTCTGATCCGGCCCCTTTGGGATCAAAACAGGTTGGATATGACCCCTGGACCAAAATGAGTTTGATACCCCTGCATTAAGTTCACAAGAGTCAGTTTTGTATGATATAATAGGAGATAACATGCCCCAATTGGTTTAACTTCATTAGCAAAACAAAATAAACCACTAGTAGGCTCTAAACCTGCCCTGTAGCCTACACGCCTCAGACTTTCCTCTAAATCCTTTAAATCCTGACTTTATTTTGTAATGCGCACGGAGCCGGACGTAGCGCGCGCCTTCCCTCTCGGCGCTTTGACGTAGAGAGCGCGTGAGGCGGGGGAATGCGAACACGAGCCCCCGACACCACACACTACACCACACTACACCATCCAGCAGCACCCAGCACCCAGCGCACCGACACACACCGAGCACACGGAGCCAGCGCACACCGGAGACCAGAGCGCAGGCCCGGCTCTACCGCCGCGCAGCGCACCGGCAGCGACCCTACCTCTGGATCCAACTTCCCCCGGACTATCTCAGCGCTCTCACCCGGGCACAGGAGACGGAGGAGCGGGCTCGTTCATGTAAGCGTGGATGTTTTGGCGCAGGTCGTGTCCGTAGTTGCGCGCACGGCTATTGGCTTGAGTTACTTTGTTGCTATGCACGGGGAACCTGCAGTGCTTTTGTCCACTCTCTGGAATTCCGCCCATTTTAGGTTCACTGCTGGATAAAAAAAACAACATCCTCTCGGTTTTTGGTGCATTTTACCGCATTTTCGATCTCCACGTGATCGCATCCACCTCCGCGCAGGGTGTCGCGGTTGACGTGCCCGCCTCGGGGTGTGCTCCCTCCGGGCATGAACGTTCCGTCGCTGCCTGCCCTCCCCTTGATCCCAGTGGAAGTCCCGTGGTCCTTTGTTGTAGTCTGGCTGGATTAAAGCGGGCCAAGGGAAGTTATTTGGCTGCTTTAGCGCAACTTCCATGACCCTGGTTCTGATTGTTTACTCTGTTCAAGGTAGGGTGAAATGTGAAATGTCTGGAAGTTGGCTTTGTTGTGTGCACTAAAGCGCCATTTTTTCAGAATAATCTTTACGAAAATTGGTAGATCTGAGGTTTATTAATTAGCTGATGTTTTTACCTGGTTATTGGTCATTATTTTCTCTATTTTTTTTTTTTTAAAGAATTGCAGATGTAACCAGCACTAGATCAGAGATTCTTCACCAGAACTTTAAACCAGTGGCCAGGACTAAACCAGGACTAAACCAAGACTAAACCAAGACTAAACCAAGACTAAACCAAGACTAAACCAGTACCAGTCCTCCAAATATGTCTTATTGCAGATTGTTTAAACCTGTACCAGACCAAGACTAAAGCAGGACTACCAGAAACCAGGACTAAACCAGCACCAGATCAGGACTAAACCATACTAGACCTGGACTAAAATGTAGGGTTACTGCAGATTATTTAAACCGGTATGAAACTAGTGTCAGACCAGGACTAGAGCAGGACTACCGGAGGACTATTCCACTGTTTTACCAAGAACAGAATTAGTAAAATACTAGACCAGGACTAAACCAGGATCAGACATAGAGATGGACTATTTGATTGTCTGACCAAGAACTGAATCAGTAAGATACTAGACCTGGACAAAACCAATACCAGACCAGGACTACACAAGCATCTGACCAGACCAGGACTAAACCAGAACCAGACCAGGACTACACTGTTATCGGACCAGACCAGGATTAAACTAGTACCAGACCAGGACTAGAGCTGGACTATTTGAATGCCTGACCAAGAACTGGATCAGTAAGATACTAGACCCAGACTAAACCAGTACCAGACCAGGACTACACCAGTATCAGACCAGACCAGGACCAAACTAGTATCAGACCAGGACTACAGCAGGACTAGTCCATTGTCTAATCAAGAACTGAATCAGTAGGATAATAGACCAGGACTAAATCAGTACCAGACCAGGACTTGAGCTGGACTGTTTGATTGCTTGACCAAGAACTGGATCAGTATGATACTAGACCCAGACTAAACCAGTCCCAGACCAAACCAGACCAGGACTACACAAGCATCTGACCAGACCAGATTAAATCAGTACCAGACCAACCAGACCAGGACTACACCAGTATCAGATCAACGAGTCTAGGACTAAACCAGTACCGGACTAGGACTAAATCAGTACCGGACTAGGACTAGAGCTGGACTATTTGATGACCTGACCAAGAACTGGATCAGTATGATACTAGACCCAGACTAAACCAATACCAGACCAGACCAGGACTAGAGCAGGATTATTTGATTGTCTGACCAAGAAGTGAATGGGTAAGATACTAGACCCGGACTAAACCAGTACAAGTATCAGACCAGGTCTAAACTGTTATCGGACCAGACCAGGACTAAACCAGTACTAGACCAGTCCAGGACCAAACTAGTATCAGACCAGGACTACAGCAGGACTATTCCATTGTCTAAGCAAGAACTGAATCAGTAGGCTACTAGACCAGGACTAAACTAGCACCAGACCAGGACTAAACTAGCACCAGACCAGGACTAAACTAGCACCAGACCAGGACTAAACTAGTATCAGACCAGGACTACACTGTTATCGGACCAGACCAGGACTAAACCAGTACTAGAGCAGTCCAGGACTAAACCAGTACCAGACCAACGAGTCTAGGACTAAACCAGTACCAGACTAGGACTACACTAGTATCAGATCAGGACTAGAGCTGGACTATTTGATTGCCTGACCAAGAAATGGATCAGTATGATACTAGACCCAGACTAAACCAGTCCCAGACCAGACCGGGACTACACCAGTACCAGACCAGGACTAAATGAGCATCTGACCAGACCAGACTAAACCAGTACCAGATCAACCAGTCCAGGACTACACCAGTATCAGATCAGGACTAAACTAGTACCCTACTAGGACTAAACCAGTATCAGACGAGACCCAAACCAACTAAACCAGGACTAAATCAGTGCTAAACCCTATGGACTCAGGATTAAACCAGGTATAAACCAGGTCTAAACCAGGACTAATCTCTGAGACCACAAGAACACAATGAACCAGTCCCCCATTCAGGATTTTCACGAGTAATGGTGATTCTGCGGTAACTTCATCGCGCTGTGTCGCTGTCTTCATTAAAACTCGTACGCCCCCCCCCCCCTCCTGGACCCGCTCCTCTCCCCCAGGTTCACCCCGCTCACTCCGGGTCCTCAGGCTGGCTCCAAACTCCCCAGTCTGTGCACTGGAGCCCATGAGATCACATATGTAGGTGTCGTAGAAGACACGGTGGTTTTCGGTAGCATGCGGTGCACTGCTCACATCTGTTTTGAATGAGGCTGGGGGGGGAGAGGGGGTGGACAAAAGCACTGTGTCGCTGCAGATGGGCGCACTCAAAAGCCCCCCAATGGTCCCCCCGGTGGTCCCCCCTCATGGTATTTGTCTTGGTTTCAGTTTGAGGCGAGCCCCTGCCCCCTCCTCCCCGTCAGGCTGCAGTCTGCGTGTCTTTCTTCAGATGGGCGGGACGGGCGCGGGGCTCTGATTGCTGCTAATTTGCAATTGAGTGCGTTGTGAAATGTGGTGTTTTGAAGCAACAGTTTGGTTAGATGTAGTCTCTAATTCGTGATGGTTTCTTAAAGAGGAGATGTTATGCAAAAATCAACTTTTTTTTTTTAGCATTCTACCATGTTATAATTAGGGGTGTGCTAAAATATTGAAATATGATATATCGTAGGGCTGGGCGATATGGATCGAAAAATATATCTCGATATACAATATATGTCTTGATATGTGTACTGGAAAAATAACCCCCTAAAACTGAAAACTGGAAAACTGCAAAAACAAATCTGTCAAATTCCACAAGGTCTTTTTTTTTTTTTATTGAAGTTCATGTAGGAACATTTAAGATTACAAAAAATCCCTGATTGCATAAATAATAAATTAACTGTAAAATAAAAGAAATAATACATATTTCATTCTTTTCATTCATAAATAAAACAACTCAACTCAAACTCATCTTTGCATAAACTCTGTTATCCAGAACCAGAACCAGAACCATGAGCTCCTTCAGCGTCAGAAACTCAGGATGTTTCTTATTTTAACAGATCCATGTTCCTCACCAGTGTGAGGAGCTGTGAGGTTTCCCACAATCCACTGCAGATCAAACCCAACGTTTCCAAACACTGTTGTACAAGTGACACTGCAGCAGATTTTTCATTCAAATCTTCTACATAAATAAACTTTACATGACTTAACTTTACAACATATAAACCATAACGACTCTAGAGTCACATCAGCTCGTTTGACATTATCATGTGTTTAATGCAGTTTAGCACAGATTTGTTTACCTTTTACAGAAACAAAACTTAAACCACTTAACCACATGGCTCATTTGCATAAACAGCTCGCTCCTCGTGCCGTTGATGTGGTTCAGCTTCTGTCGGACTAAACAACATGACTCAGTGGAATATGAGTGTTCTCTCTGTGACAGAGGAGGTGCTGCTGATGGTTTTGTCTGTAAATGGTGGAAAAGTTTCGTGGTGCTAGAAGTTTTTCACTGGCACCAACTTTCAGCATTCACGACGATAGTGAGGAGAGAATGAGACTCAAGCAGAATCAGGAAGGCGAGGGCGCGCACAGAGAAGGCAACCAAGCGAAGCGCGAAATCAGAACTGAATATAAGCATTATATCGATATTTATGATACAGTATGTAAGAATCCATATCGAGTTTAAAAAATATCTCGATATATATTTAAATATGGAGATATCGCCCACCCCTAATATATCGTATCGTATAATGTGATGATACAGTATTGATATCTTGGGCTGCTGTATGAATATATCACCAAGAGTACCTTTTGATAGGGATGTAACAATAACCAAAATATCATGATATCGTATCGTCAAAGGGATCACAATAATATCGTGGGCTGTCACAAAATATCAAATTACAAGTTCCGTTGTTTAAATACCTTGTTTTATAGTACCAACAATTAAAAAACATACAGAACGGCATATGCCATGATTCACTTAAGGGCAGACAACATAAAGAAATATGTTTTTTACTTTAATTCTTGAGATTGACAGTAATAATTCACACCAAAGTCTTGTCAAGGTAAAAAATTCAAAAGCAAGAAGTATCCCAGCCACACATCTATTGACTTCTCCAAAAATGTGTAATAACCAAATCTCACAGTACGATATTTATCGTTACATCTCTACTTTTTGGTATATTTTACTAAATGATTTTGTTACAGAGCTACAGTTTTGTTGCTTGTTTAGAGGAAGGAAACTCGTTTATGCGACACATTTGACATTTTCACTGTTTTGTTGATTAAAATGTTTGCGTTTCATATGAACTTTGCACAAGAAGTGGTTTAACAAAGACTTTTAGTATCACAGCCATGATTTAGCCTTTATGTTTTTTTTATTGAACTGCATCGAATCGTTTTGAAATATATCGTATCGAATCGAAAGTGCACTGTATCGAAATATGCATCGTATCGTGGCCTACGTATCATTTCTGCAACTTCTGAATGATGCCCAGCCCTGGTTATTATA